GGTCTGCTCCTGCTGAGATGATGCTGAGATTTTTCCTGAGTAGCACTGACATGAAAAGTGCACAGTTCTTGTCCTTTTTTGCAGCCTGATATTCTGTACTTGCCGCCTGGATGGCTGAAGGACAATTTGATAATAATCTGCACCTATGTGAATTACAGATGCACCAAGAAGGAAAGCAATTGTCTTAGCTGGTGAAAGAAATGGGCTAGGAAAAACTGGAAAGAGCTGGATTTTGGGAAATGCATCATGACAGTAACATCTGTTGGAATGCAAAGTAATCTCCCCTGGAAAGTGGTGGGATCAGCATTGCTCCTGACATTTGCAGCTCGGTGAGGCAGAACCTGGTTTGATCTATGGCACACTTGGCTTCCAGCAGGCCCTCTGTATGATCCACTAGATTTTTTTCCATCTCTGACTCCTGTGACTGTCTGTCTGACTCTCCCAGGGTGATGAAATATCATTATAACCTTTTGAAATAATATATCGGCGCCTGGAGAGCAGAGACTGATTTTCTCATTTGCAAGTGGGAGGCAGTGTGTTAAATTAACGCTCGTGTCATTAAATGGATTGAGGAAAAAAAATCTGATGTGCTTGAACCAGGACACTTTTCCCCTCCACAAACAAACCACCTCAAATTTCACTTTGTGGGGGTCCAGGAAGGTGAGGATTAGAAGTTTAAATAACATTCATCATATTCTCTGAGGCATAGGTTACTTGCTTGACACCTGAAAATGTTTCAGCAAGTCTGACATGGAAGCTTTCTGCTGACTTACAGAGGATGAGGGAGCCTGTGCTGTGTCTGTCAGAAATCAGGAGGCATAAAATTTATCTTTCTGGGCCGTGGAAGCTTCTGCTTGTTCATTTGGCTCTGGGAGATTTGATCCAATCTGGTCTAGTGGAAGGTGTCCGTGCCCATGGCAGGGGATGGAACTGGATGGGTTTTACAGTCCCTCCCTTCTCAAACCATCCTGCGATTCTGTGAACTGTGAAAAAATCACTGTGCTGATAAACACAGAGACAAAATTTGTAACTAATTGTGCTCAAGAATTGCACTTTTGGAGCATCAGTGAGAAAGTGGTAGTGTTGTTTCAGCTGATTTTTTAAAATCACATCAAGCAGCTGATGCAGTTCTCCACAGCATTTGTTTCTGTCTCTTCATGTAGGGCAGAGTATTGATAATCATCTGGTTCTGCTGAGCATTGTAGCTGGCAACATTTGAAACTCCAGACATGGTGATGAATTGCTCTATGATACATTAATGTTATTTTGATCCCTGCTCTTTCAGAATTACATTGATCCAATTAGGTTAAGTAGCTTGCCATCTAAATTAATTTACTTTCCTCTATTAATCTCCTTTACTCTGGGTCAAAACCAAAAATGTAAATCAATCCATTATATTGCATATCTTTGAGGGGTGGGAGAGTAATTAAATTACCTAATAGATACATGTGCTGGATTGATTGTTTGGTATGTTGAACATTATTGCCATAATTGGAAAGTGCACGCTCAGTGGTGGAATTTGAGTGCTTGTTACACTTAATTTTCATAACCTGACAAGAAATGCCTTGCTGTCCCTGGGTACCAACCCTACATACCCAGCTACACAGCTTTTAGGATATTGGACATTTTGCAAGCGAGGATAAAAGCTCCTTCCTCTGCCAGGAACTGTTGGACTCCCTGGCAGTGTCTCAGAGGTCCTGACCCTCTGCAGTGTCAGAAAACCCTTTCCTGGCTCATTCTCAGGCAGGCACCAGCACGGGTGTGGCAGCAGAGCAGATGTCTCAGCACTGATGTCTGAGTTACCAAGCTGCAGGAGGGTTACTCAGGCTCCTGAAAAGCTGTCTTCTTTTCCCAGTGGCATGTGAAATTTCCATGGTTTGATATCATGGAATCACAGAATGGTTTGGGCTTGAAGAGACCAAAAATCACCCAGTGCCACCCCTGCCATGGCAGGGACACCATCTGCTGTCCCAGCTGCTCCAAGCCCTGTCCAGCCTGGCCTTGGGCATTTCCAGGGATCCAGGGGCAGCCCCAGCTCTGTGTTCCACACTGGGGCATTATTTTGCTTTCCTTAGGTTAGTCCGACAGTGGGATTCCATCATCTTGGTGCTCTTACCAGTCTTTTACAGCTCACACTAAGAATTCTTACTTTCAGCCAGTATTTTCAGGATCTGCATCAAACTTTCATCCTTTGTCCAGCAGGGGCATTGCTGACACCAGGAATTTGTTTACCTGCTACGTTTCCTCACTTTAGTGGGAAGAACTTTCCATGGAAGACTCAAGCAAAAATAAAGCTCTGATGTGAGGGAATGAGATCCAATCCAGTGGCTGGAAACTGAATGTTGACACAGTTAAAACAAATACAAAGTGCAGTGGTTTTAGGTTGGGCTTAGTTAAAATCCTGCCTGGTTTGTGATAGCTCCATCTTCGTGGGAAATCGAGGCAAGGGCTCTTTTCAGTAGGAAAATGGATCTGGTTCTTTCCCTGTCATTGTAGCAGAAGATAAATTCAGGTCAAATGACCCCTGTAATGGGGCAGGGCAGGCTGGTGATCACAAATCCCTTTTGGTGTTCAAACCTACGGATCTATGAAGTATTTTCTAAATCTGTGTCTTAGAGCAGAATGAACAGCAGCAGAAAGGTCACCTTTATCATCACTGCTGTCAAACACCTTGGAAAGAGCAGAGCACGAAGCAAGTGTGTTGCTCAATCACTTTGCCCTTCTGCTACATCCGTTACCTTTACCTGTACTTTGTCCCATTAAATGAAACTCACTCCCCTGTTCTGGATGAAATCCCATTTCCAAAAACTGCACAGAGAAACTCTGTTGGCTTCAGCGATGGGATCTTGCCTTTACAAAGGCAATTAATGCCTGATAAGTGCAGAGTTTAGCAGGGTTAGATAAATAATGATAATTATGAAAGCAGCTGCTGTTTGTGATGATGAGACAGTAGGAAACAGAGAGGGACTTTCTGCAAGGGGGTGTAGTGACAGGACAAGGAGAGAGGCTCCAAACTGACACTGAGTGGGTTTAGATGGGATTTTGGGCAGGAATTGTTTCTGGCAGGGTGGGCAGGCCCTGCCACAGGTGCCCAGAGCAGCTGGGGCTGCCCCTGGATCCCTGGCAGTGCCCAGGGGATGCTGGATGGAGCTCTGAGCAGGCTGGCATAGGGGAAGGTGTCCCTGCCATGGCAGGGGCTGGAAATGGAAGATCTCAAAGGTCTCTTCCAGCCCAAACCATTCCATGATTGCTGGATACAGCCCACTTCGTTACTGCAGGGCTTGTGGAGGCTGCAGGCACCAGGGCTGAGATCACCACTGTAGTCAAGTCTGAGGCACCACGGGTGGGTGTAATTCATTATTGTGCACCTAAATCAACCTGAGATCTTTGATCAAGGCCTGCTGTGGGTGTGGTGGTTGCCTGAGATCCAGTTCCTACAAACCCACCAAATGCTGCAGTGTTTCAACATTCCGTATCTGTTAATATGCTAATATATCCCTCAACCTGAAAAATTTAAAAGTTAAATGTGAGAATCTCTGCTTGAATGCTCAGTATAATGTGTTGGGGCTTCATTTTTTGCCTTGTCACTTCCTTCTTTTCTTTTTTTTCCTTTTCTTGTTTTTGGTCTTGTTTAATTTATTTTTTTTCCATACCTCAAGACAGAGGCTTTTAAAGCTGGGTTTTCTCCCTAATAAGTGTTAGTAGAGTTCCTAGCACAACCAGATCTTGATGGAGCCACTGGATATTAATGTGATGCAAATTAATCAGTAATGAAAATTAAATGTGTGTTTATGCTCTAGTTCTAATGTTTATACAAATACAAGAAATGTGCACCACAACTGTGTAATGGTTCCCACCACAATATTTGCAGGGGTGCAGCATTAACCAGCTTTAAATAAAAGGGCCTGGTTTGTTCGAGTGAACAACTCAAGGAAGTGGAACAGATTGAACATTGTGAATTGCAGAGCCAGGGATTTTCAATGTTCTGCACTCTCCAGTTTTCTGAAGGTGATGGTGGCATTTACCTCCTGGCTCCTTCTGTATCGTGCTTTTGCAGGTCACCAGAAATTTTGTCCAAACTCAAGGACGTTTGTGATGAGGAGCTCAACTCCAGACCTACGTTAGGAGTGAATGTGAATGAGTGCTTCTCCTTCTGCCTTGGTTAGAAATGCTCTTTATGTAAGGAGGTGAAGACACATCAATAGCAAGACTTCCCTTTTTTTTCTAAGCAAAAGGGGCAGGTGCAGCTTTCCCTCTTCCATGAGTTCCCTACAAAAGGAGAAATTTTTGTGGTTATCACGCAAGTGCCGCTCCCTGGAGATTCCTGGAAAATGACAACTGCAAATCCAAATTTTTTATCTCATTACCAGAGGCAGGAGGGGAAGTATGGAGAGAATGGGAACAAACTGCCTCATCCCAGACATGATCTTGCATAGTCTCCTGTGAAATCGTTAAATTTCCATTCGTGAATATCCTTTCAGATGACCAGGATAAATCCAGTGCTGTAAATTCTGTGATGTTCATGCAGTGTTTTCCCTGGAGTGTCAATAGGAGGAGCTTGTTTCACTCACCATGTGCTAAATTAGTCTTTGGGTGGTCACTTGCTGATGAATTCAACAGATTAGATGGGAAAATAAGGAACACGGGGAAAACATTTTCCTTTTCAACAAACCACCATTACTTAACAATACTCTAAACCCCAGATTTCCCATTTAACCTAAAATGTGTTGAAAATTACATGGAATATTCAACTCTGAAATGTACTGGCACAGAGTCCTCATTTGGAAGAGAAAACAGTCTGGGAAGTTGTAGCCTATTCACAATTACCACAGGGAGTGTCCGTGTCCTGCAGCTTCAATATTTGGAGTTCTATTTTCCCTTATTCCCCGTAGTCATCGAATCCTTAATGCCTGGCTTTGATCCTTATCTCAAACAGAACTGCTAAAGGATAAATTCAAGGTGAGGTGGCCTCAATATTCTGTGTGCTCTGTTTTTTCCAGGGGCCTGCTGGCCAGAGGATTCACAGAGACCCATTATCTGCGGGACGGCGCTGACGTGGTTCTCACACGCAATCACACGGTAAGGTTGGGGTGTCGTGGGTCGAGATGATGCTTCATCCTTAAAATCCAAAGTGTTCTCTGCCAGGATCTGAGCCCTGGCAGGAAACAGCTCAACGTGTGATCTTTTTTTTACTGTTGCCTTCAGTATCTTTGTCACTGCTCTGATCCTACGCACAAATTTTTAGAGGCAGACTTTAAAGGCGAGCTCTGGGGTTTGAACCAGGTGACTTAAAATTTGTGAGGTTTTTTTTTTCAGCTTCTTGGAAATAGACCCATTGAAATTTTATAATTATGGCAGTTACAACTGATTAGTTAGGGAGAAAAGCCCTGGTTCTGTTTGAGGGGAAAAAACCCTAAATATCTGATTTCCAGAGTACAAAAGTTCATGTCAGAGGTTGGAAGGCTTGGGTGTCTTTCCTCACTGGGGAAGTCATGGGTGGAGTTTGGAAGAGGGTGTTGGTTTGGTTTATTTTTAAATCCAGTCCATAAGTGTGTTGTGGATGTACTTTATACTTGTATTTGTGTGTACGTATGTATGTATGTGTATGTTTATGTACATGTATAAATACAGATATATACAAAATATGGCTTGTTAAAAGAAGCAGTTAAAACCTGCTTTTTACAAATAAGAACCCCTTAAGGCAGGAATGTTTTTGTCCTCTGACAGCATGAATGCCTTAATTAGAAATAATGCAGCAAGCCATTTTAATTACAAAGCTTATCTTTTATCCCATAAAGTACTTGTTATGTTATGGTATTTACTTACTGACACTGTCAGCAGAGACACCGTGCTTTGTGTTCCCATCCATAATGGGCTTTGCTGGGATCAGGGGAAGTAATTATTTCTCTGCATAACATCTTATTTCTGAAAAAGCACCTTCATTATAGCTGCAGACACCCCAAGTAAAGCAATCATTTTGAAAGCTTTCAGCGCTTTCATTTTGCTAGGTGCTCATATCTCCTTCAAAATCAGCTCAGGAGAAAATAGTCATTTGTTTTAGGAGCAGGAAGACTCCTGAAGGAAGTAAAAGGAAATAAATGAAGCACATGAGTCTTTTAGAGATTTACCTGAGTTAACAGGAGTATGTGTACAGGTAATGACAGGTTTTCCTTGCTAAAATACAATATCTGTTTGCATAATGGCAAAGTAAGTCGTGATTAATAATGACAGTGCATTTTGCTGCCTGAAAAAGAGAAAGATCAGTGAATTCGTTTTTCATTATATGTTGCAGTATGGTTGAGAAAAGATAAGTCCCCGATTTATTTTTACATCTCTTCTTCACTGAGGACATCAATACAGTCTGGAGTAGAAACCAAATCCCATTTTCCATTGAAAAGTTGCTTAGCCAAATTCTGCTTGGAGGTCAAAGCAAGGCAGGTTTGTGGAGCTGTCACTTGGGCAGTTCTCTAGCACACGAGTCAGTGGCTAGGTTATTTTTCAGTTTATAGCACCTGGAAAATTGTCAAAAGCTGCTATTTATGAAATGATCTCAAGCAAGGGTAGAGTACTGTTTTAAGTATGATGGATCAGCCTTGATAATTACTTGTTTTTAAGGGGTCACCCATTTTATATACTAGTTTACAGGAATAAAAAGATGTGATAGCAGAAAAAACCCCTACAATTCAGTGGAGTTACTGAGCTAGAAATCAATTTTCTCCCAGTCCCGTTGCAGGCCATGCTCTGATAAGTTTACATTTTCGATATTGAACTTTGGCATCACATAGCTGGATCTCAGAGAAATTGTGAAATGGGCCACAACCAGGAGCTCAGAGTTAATAAAATGACAAGTTGTATGTGGAGAGGGAAAGAAATCAGGCCCTTTGCCATAATTCACTCTTAGATAAAGACAGCTGGACCACAGCAGCAGCTGCGTGGGGCGGGATACTAGCTGCCCTCCTCCTTCACTGCGCCTGGTGAAGCTCAAACCCAAAACTTTCTTTCTCAGGAGCTCTGAGCTTCACCTCTGCTTCATGCTTGCTTTAAGCAATCAGAATAAACCTATTTAATTTTTGGTTTTAGCATATTCAGTGCTGGAGTGGGGGGAGGCATTTATTTTTCTTCTATCAATTGGGTGCGTGGAACTGATAATACTGAAATAAAATGAAACAGTGCACCCACACCAAAAGTTTGACATCTTTAGCAATTGTGAGTGAATTCACCCTCAAAAAATTCAATTTATGACCCTCTCCCTTCTATTGTGGCTTTATCTTTGCTGATGTGTTACTGACTCTTTATGAGGATTCATGATAAAAAATGCCCAAGAGTAAAAGACTCTCACCCTGTTTCTGTAATTTCTTCCACTGAGAAAAGCCACTGAGATTTGTATTTAGAAAATCAGAGCTGGCTGTTCTGTGTTCACTTCCAAACATCTTTCCTGGCATAAACTTATTTGCAGAAAATTCCTGTCCAAATTTTTCCATCTTGCCCAGACTGTTGCTTTCTTCCCCAAAATCAAGGTGATTTTTAGAAGTTTGCAATGTGAGGATTTGAGAATGAAAACCATGTCCCAGGCTGGAAAGGTTAATTAATGCAATAATGAACCAAGCCATAGAATTGTGAGATGACTTTTGGGTTGCAGCAGTGATAACTTCCCTGGCACTGATCAGACAGGAACCCTTTAGAGCAGAGTTTTTGGTTGCCAGGTGGAATTCAAAGGGCCACAAGAAAAGAAACACTGGTTGTGACACAATCCTTGCTTTCCAGCCAGTCCCATCATTGGGAATGCAATATAACCTTTACTCAACAATGAAATTAGCCTTGATTCCAGACAGATATGTGGATGTGCTTAGAAACTTTCTCTGTGTGCTTGGCAAGAAGTGGATTATTAAAGAAATATAATAACCTAGCCACAAAATTAAATTTGACTGTTGTCTCTCAAAATAGAGAGACTGTTGTCTCTCCTTTATTCTTAGTTGTTTATAATAACATGCAGCTACTTGGTTGGGTATTTCAATAAAAAATTTCCTTTACAACCTGTTTTACTTCCTCATTTGCTTTGTGATTTTTTTTTTCTAGTTATAAGGTTGGCATTGCCTTTGTTATACTTCTCTTTTTACATACCTACCTCCTCTAGGGATACACAGATTTAAATGCCCTTAAATAAAAAGAGAGGTCTCTATAGAAAGCAGTAAAATACAGCAGCTGATTTATTCATCTGATTAATTTTATAAAATATTTGATGTTGTAACTTTAAATAAATAACACAGAAAAATGGGGTCAGCCATAAAAATTTAAAAAATAAGACCACAAATCCAAACAAAAAGCCTCCTATAACCTTTTGGGGTTTAGGAAGCACCCAAGGTTTCCATTTAGGAGCTGTTTGGCCTCTTAAACACAGGGAATATTTGGTGGGACAGGAAAGGTGCTGTCAGTGTGATTCTGAGTGCTGTGGCCTGAAACTGATAATCACCTTGAAATAAAAGGGCTGGAAATGCAGGAGCAAAGAGCATTTGTGAGCACTGAAATGTTTTCTCTTCCTGCCACAGGGTCACTGCTATTACCATGGCCAGGTCCAGGGGTACCCCGAGTCCTCCGTCAGCCTCAGCACCTGCTCGGGACTCAGGTGAGCCAAGATTTCAGCAGCATTCCAGCTCCTGAGTGCTTGGTTTGACTTTTAATGAATGAATCAATACTGGGGAAGGGGCTGGAGCCCCAGGAGGGGCTGAGGGAGCTGGGAAGGGGCTCAGGCTGGAGCAAAGGAGGCTCAGGGGGAATTTCTGGCTCTGCACAAGTCCCTGGCAGGAGGGGACAGCCGGGGGGATTTGGGATCTGCTCGCAGGGAACAGAGACAGGAGGAGAGAGAACTGCCTCAGGGGAGGCTCAGGAGGGATACTGGGAGCAATTTCCTCATGGAAAGGTTTTTCTAGCCCTGGCACAGCTGCCCAGGGTAGTTTGGAGTCCCCATCCCTGGAGGGATTAAAAGCCCTGTGGAGGTGACACTTGGGGACACGGGGCAGTGCTGGCCTTGGCAGTGCTGGGGGATGGTTGGACTCGGTGACCTTAGAGGGCTTCTCCAACAGAAATGATTCCATGATTCTGTCTCTTTTTCAAAGGTTGAATGAATCCCTACAAATAGTTTTCCCTCTAGGTGCTCTGAGGAGCAAAAACAAGGAATAGTTAACACAATTTGGGGGCTTTTCCAAGAGCCATACGTTCTCTCCTGCTGCCCATCCCTCTCTGCGCCCATTTCTTGGCACATTTTCATTACTGGCAGTGCCCAGTGGCTTTCCAGGCCTCTCTGTCCTCAAAGCTCTTTCACCAGTGTTGTCAGCACTGCTTTCCCAGCTGTGAAATCACAAATTTCCACAAATCACAAATCCAGCAGCCTCATCATTAGGAGAGGTGGCTTTAGAAAACAGAGAATGGAAGAATCTATGATACAGAAAACGTGCATGGTTGTGGAGCTCAGAAATTGTGTTTATGGCAGGTAAGATGCTCAGCTTTTGGGTTTTAGCTGCTTGTTAACAGCAGAGTGGCAGATTCCCATGCTGAAAACCAAACCTCTTGGAGTTTGACAAAGGAATGGGATGACAACATTTCAAGTATGCAATGGGCACAGTTCAGGAAACAATTATCTTTCTTACTTGGACAATCAGAGACTGGTATTTACTCACAGAGCTGTTCCAAATCACAGTAATTAACTGTAAATTGGCTCTAGCGTTCTCCCTGGAAAACCCAGTTTTCCTGTCAGATTTCCAGCTGTCTCAGCCTTTTCTGGGTTTAATTTATCCACAAACAGCTGGAATTTTTTCCCCTTGATTTTGCATTTTGTGCAATAGTGGCATTGTCAAGGCTTTTGCAAGGGAGCTCTGGGACAGAGAGCAGCAGAGAGAGCAGGCTTTGATCCCAGGACCCCTCTCCCTCTGAGAATGACCCTTTTGCTGTAGTGGATGGGATTCCTTTGCCTCATTCCCACACAGAAAGGGGCTTTATGGGTGCTTCACTCTGGATCCAGCATCTTCCAAAAGTTTCATAAACCCTTTGCATGAACAGTCAGCATTTATCTGTCATTATTGTTGTAAAATATATCCAGAATTTACAACTGTTTGTAAAAATCTAACGCTGAGCTCTCAGTATTTTAGTTAAAGGATCACAGTGCTGCAAGCTCCACAGTGAAAATTTGTACCTCGTGGGACAGGGACTGCATTGATGTCCTTGTTCCAGAACTACCTGGAAATTAATCACTCTCAAGAGAAAATATCCTTTTCTAGAAGTCTTTCCTTTCTTCTCCAAAGTGTTCTCTGTACAATTGTGGAGCTCCCAGAGTTGTTGCCCACTTTTAGGTGGTTCAGGTATATCAAGACAGGAGATGCTGTCAGGGACATTTTCCTGACACTGTTGCAGACAAGTCCCCAAAATGCAAGCTGCCAGGATTAGGCTCCTTCTCTGCAGGGAAAGCAGAGCAGCAACTTTTTCAGTACAAAATTGCAGAAATTTTCTTTGCCATGCATATTCTGTTCTAGTAGATCAGATGAGGATAAATCTCAGTTTCTGTGCCTGTTTCAGTGCTGAGCTTGGTAAACAGACTGTCTGGTGATAAGAGTTGTGTTGATTCACTCCACCAAACCTGTTTCACAGCCCAACAACCAGCAGCAGCAACTCCCAGACAGCAATAACTCCCAGATGTTGCCTGTGCTTGATCACAGGAACACAGAGTGGTTTGGGTTGGAATGGACCTGAAAGTTCATCCAGTTCCACCCCCTGCCATGGGCAGGGACACCTTCCACCAGAGCAGGCTGCTGCAAACAAAGGACAGCCCTAAAGAATTTCATGGCTAACTTTGCTAGCTTGAGAGAATAGATATGGACAGGACAGGACAGGACCATGTACATGCCACCAGCTTGCTGGAGCAGGGACTCTTGTTTTTCCACAGTGTGATAAAGACTCCAAGCTGCAGGAGCAGAGACATAAAGCACTGTGTGGCCATGGAGCCCCAGGTGGGGACAGCCTGGAGCAGCCCTTTCACTTGCAGCAGCTGTTGGAAGAGAGGCCAGGTCTCGTTTTCAGGGTCTGTTCCTGGCCTTGTGACAGGTTCTAAGTGAATCAGACAAATCTCTCTGTCTCAGTTTCTCCATCTGTGAAATCCATTTAATGATTCTTACCTACCTCACACAGCTGTAAGGTTCAAGTGCCTGAAAAACATCTAATGAAAGGAAGTGCATGCTGTCAGCCCTCCGAAATCCTGGAGAAGCAATCTCTTCCCCCTCCCAGCAGACAGGCACCTTGGGCATTGTTCCAGGTGTGGATAGGTAGGGGCTGTGCATTTTCCCCCAGATCAGCAGAGTTCATTAAAAGATATTAAACTGCTCATAAAGAATAGGTTCCACATTGCAGTGTGCTCTGAAGCCTGAGTGCTCAGCAGCAGTCAGAGAAGCAGAGGGGATCATAGGAATTACTGAGACAGAAATAGAGGATAAAACAAGAACCCTCATTACCACTTTATAAATCCACAGAGCGCTCACGTCTTGAGTTCTGAATGCAGTTCTTGTTTTCCCCTCCTCTGCTTCATCTCAGAAGAAGAAGAAGCAGCATTATATCCAGAAAAGGTACAGAGAAGGGCAAAAATTGTGATCAAAGGTATGGAGCAGCTTTTATTCGAGGAGAGAAAATAGACCAGGATTTGTCACTTTTGAAAGGAGATGACAGAGAAAAGGAGCAGGATGAAACAAGGTTGAATGTCACACTGGAGAGGGGACAATTACTGAATATTCTTCATAACCTCAAAATTAGGAGACATCATCCAAAACTTTAGAGCAAAGGAAAGTATTTTTTTTATTCACATAACGAAGCACTGGAGCTGTCACAGGTGGGTGTCAGTGAGAGAAGTATCAATGGATTCCAAAAAAATGTGATAATTTGGGAAGGGGAGCTCAGGGAGCCTCTGCAGGGCTGTCAAACCCTGAGATGTCCCTGAGACTGAGCTGGGGCTGCTTGTTCTGTTCTTGTCTCTCAGCCCTGAGCTCCTGCTGTTGGCCAAGGCCAGAGGGGAGGTGCAGAGCTGGAGGAACCTTGCTCTGACCTCTCCCAACCATCAAGGTCTTCCCTCCACGTGGCTGAGCAGTTGAGATGTGTTTTTAGCTCCTGAACATGATGTGATGGTTCTGTGGTGAGGAAGGATTGTGTGAAATCTGAAAACTAATGTTTGTCTGGTTCATCAGGCAGAGAGGTGAGAGATGGAGAGAGGAGGAGGCTCAGCTCTCTCAAACACACATTTTTCAGCTCTCTTACATCCTCACACACATAACATTCGAGCTCCTCACCTCACCTAGGAGCACAATGGCAGAAATAGTGAGACTGAGGCTGAGAGCTGCCTAAAGTGCAGGTTAGAGGAGAATACAATCATGCCTTAATCTGTATCCTGCTGGCTCCTCCGAGAAGGAGGAGCTGAGTGGCAGAGAGGGCTCAGGAAATGCTGAGTGCACGGAAAGGGAACAATGGCTAATCAGGGTTTCTGTCTGTCTGTCTGGATCAGAAAGCCAATTAGACTGTCAGAGCTTGTGGGAAGGTGAAGGTACTACAGGGCTGAGCCATTTCCTTCCTGTCCTCAGGAAATACCCTTCTGTTTATCCAGCTTGGGGGCTCTTCAGGTTTTTAGCAAATAATTTTAGCCTGTGGCCACCGCTCACATCTTCTGTGATAAATTTGTTTAGACTTGAATGATTTTTTTTCCCTGATTACTTTCCCTGTGAGTGCTGAATACACCCAGAACTGCAGCCTGGAGAAGGGCACAAACCTCCCTGGTCCAGGGGCTGGCAGAGGACTCTGCCACGGCAATGTACAGCTACAAAAGCATCTGCAGTGACCTCTTAGATGGGGGGAGCCTGAGAGGTGCTCCCAAAAAATTCCTTGGGAGCCTGATAGAAATCTCCCAGGAAGCCTTTTCCTTCTGAAACACCAAAATGCACTTGAATATCCTCAGATCTTTTACCCAGTTAGTTGTTAATTAACCCAGTCACACATTCAGCAAGTGTTCAGCCTCATCAGCAGCTGAAGGATGTGGTGTGCACAGTGACAGGGATGGGGAGAAGGCCCCAGATTGGAATAGATGCTCATTTCTACTGGGATTACAGAGTTATGGTACCCGAGGCTGCCAATACCATTTTTCAGATGGTCTGGCTGAACTCCCTTCAGCCCAGACACAGTCAGCTGAAGAGGGGATTTAAATGTGACACTCCAGACATCAACTGTTTAAAAAAGAAATGGAAGTAGGAAACCAGTGAGAAAAAGAAATGTATATTCCTCATGAGTCCTCAAGCATCATTTCCCCAGAAGAAGAGATTTCATCCAAAAGTTAAGTTAGGAGAAAATCCCTGTTGAGAAAAGCACTGGTTTGGATGTGAGCTTTTCCTCCATACTTTCTAAAGAGCTTTTAGTTCATATAAACATCCTGCATGGTTTGTAATTTATCTGACTGGGAAAGTCCAGGAGGATTTTGAGCTCAACATTAAAAACCATTCACTTTCTGAGGTTTCATAGCTTCTGTAGGCTGCCTGTTCCAGGGGAGCAGCTCCTGGCTCAGGGTCACCTCTGTGATCTGAGATGAGCATCATGTCCAGCCTTTGA